CTATTTTGCCCTTGCACACTACTCTTTCCAGGATACTTCAGTTGTTAATTTGTTTAATAAAACACACTTTGTTTGTTAAGATAGCTCAGATTGGTTTCTATTACCAGCAGTGAGGTACAGTGAAAACCTTAAATAGCCTAGCTTAAATATCGCATTATCTAGAGGGGGAAAGGAGGCAAAGTTATGCAACCCTCTGTTTTCTTGCTAACCCTTTCCACGTATCTTCATTATGACGCTTATCAAATCACTCTGTAATTGTTTGTCTCCAGGTTTTTCTTCAACATCTTGTCCAGCATGTAGTAAAAACTAAAACAAGTGTTAATTCTCCCATATCCTGTAAACACTTCTAAGAGAATTGCTACATTTTGCTGTTAGCTTATACCCTCTGAAATACACTGTTGTTGAATGGCTGACTCAGGTCATTAATCAGAGCACATTGACAATTCCATGTTAATCGTGATCATAAGTAAAGAGTAAAGAGAATTACATGGGGGTGGGGGGGAATAGAATAAAAAACCCAAAGAGAAAGTCTAAGGACTTTAATGAGATTATCTGAGAATGCTGCTTCCTGCCTGGAAAACCAAAGCTATAGTAGCTGATAGATTCCGAGACTAGTTAAGGAGGATTCCAAGGACTAGGGATTTCTTTCATTGCATCTCCCTCTCTCCCTCTCTCTTTTGTCTTTTTTTTTCCCCCCCCAAATTGTACCTATAATGTTCTTAAAGACAAAAAAGGTGGTTTTCTGTGGTTATGATGGATACTGAGGGCCTTGTTTTGGAGATTTGTTAAAGGATTACTAACAACCTACCTTTCTGCCCATTCTGATTTTGTTATCAGAAAACAGGTTCACAAAGATTGGATGGGATTTAAGAATTCCTGGAGCTGTAAATACTTTGAAGCATAGAGGCCCATTGCAGTTTCCACGGTAAAACTTCGGGAGTTAAAAAAACAAACAAACAAACACAAACAAAACCCAAAAGATAAACCTCACAAAACAAACAACTTCCTCCCTCTCGCCAGAACATACACCTTTATAGATTCATAGAAAGCAACTCTTTTTAAATGTGTAGAAAGAAAACATAGTAAGAGGAAGAACTGCTTTCTGGAGCTGGTAAAATTTTGTTATCAGCATTTCTAATTGAATAAACCAGGTTTCTTTTTCCTTTGTATTCCTTATACGTATTAATTCCGTAAGAAGAGTAGTAGGTTTGGATGCTGAAAAGGAGTAATATAATCTGGTGAATTTCAAATAATTTTCTCCATCTTTGTTTCAGAATACACATAGATATCTCACTATGGGAACGTAAGGGAAATATTAGAGAAGGCAATTCTATGAATCCTACGTATTTTATTTTTATTAAATTTAAAAAAATTTTAAGATTTGAGTATAGTTGACACATGTTACATTAGTTTCAGGGGTACAACTTAGTCCATGTCAGATTCAACAAATTTATATACTATGCTATGTTCACCACAAGTGTAGTTACCAACTGCATTTCCCTGATGTAAGCATCTTTTTAGGTATCTCTTGGCCATCTATCTGTACATCTTACTTGGAAATATGTCTATTCAGGTCCTCTGCCCATTTTTTTTTTTAATATTTTTTATTTATTTCTAGGAGAGAGAGAGAGACAGCATGAGCAGGGGAGGGTCAGAGAGAGAGGGAGTCACAGACTGAAACAGTCTCCAGGCTCTGAGCTGGCAGTCAGCACAGAGCCCGACGCGGGGCTCGAACCCACGAACCGCGAGATCATGACCTAAGCGAAAGTCGGACGCTTAACCGACTAAGCCACCCAGGCGCCCCTCCTCTGCCCATTTTTAATCAAATAATTTCTTTTTTTGGTGTTGATTTATAGAAGTTATAGATTTTTGAAAGGAACCCCTTATTGGATGTATAATATGCAAACATCTATTCTGTAGGGTTTGTTTTGTTTTATTGATGGTTTCTTTTGCTGTGCAGAAGTTTTTTGTTTTGATGGAGTCCCAGTAGTTTATTTTTGCTTTTGTTTCCCTTGCCCGAGGACACATATCTAGTACAATGTTGCTATGACCAATGTCAGAGAAATTATTGCCTGTGTTCTCTTCTAGGATTTTTAGGACTATACAGAGGGTTGAGATCTGAAAGCTCTCACATTTAGGTCTTTAATCCATTTGAGTTTATTTTTGTGTGTCGTTTAGAAAGTAGTCCGTTTACATCTTTGACATGTGGCTTTCCAGTTTTTCCAGCTCTGTTTATTGAAGAGACTATCTTTTGTCCACTGTATATTCTTGCCTGCTTTCTCGTAGATTAATTGGCCATATATTTGTAGGTTTATTTCTGGAGTCTCTATTTTATTCTGTTGATCTATGTATCTAGTTTTGTGCCAGTATTATACTGTTTTGATTACTACAGCTTTATAGTAAATCTTGAAATCTGGAATTGTGATACCTCCAGTTTTGCTCCTCTTTGTCAAGATTGCTTTGGCTTGAATTCTAAATATTTAAAGCAGAGGGCCTTATGGTAAGAATATCTGATATCTCTACTATTATGGCTCCATAGGTTAATGCACACATCTGCCTGTTATCCCACAAAAGCACGAGTTGCTTTTGTTTTTAATAGCAGATGTTTTTTTCTATAACAATTACAAATATATAAAGGGTGCTGGCACTGTGAATGCTACTTCTTGACAGTGAATCCGTGCTACTCCAGGACAGAGTATAACAAATTTCTAAAGTCTAAAATAGCATGAAAACAAATGCTTGCAAATGTCCTCACTGAAGCTCTTACAAGACAGGTAAATGACCTCAGTCTCAGGATCCAACAGAATTTCAAAACACATGGAAGTTTTTATTTGTGACTATTATTCCTAGAAACCAAAGGGAGGTCTTGTTACCCAGGTCAGCCATATTCCCAGAAGCTAGGGCTTCAGAGCTAGGTTCATCCCCCAAGAAATCTCCACCTATTGGATAACTGGTTCTGTAGCTACTTGTGAAAAGTGACTGGCTTCAATTCCAGAAGAGGTACCACTGATTGGGGTGACTGTGCCTTTCCTGAATAGCCAAAAAGCTGGGCAAAGTTAGGGCAGTGAGATATTAAGAGTCACTGTGGATAGGCATCCACTCAGGAGTTGGTTAAAAGTAGGCATCGCAAAATAATCTAGAGTGATTGAAATTAGATCATTGAGTATACAGGGGGTTGGGAACAGCCTGCCAATGGCATGAGTGAATTTTCTGGGTTGATGGAAATAATCTGATAGAGGAGTTGGTTACATGGGTATATAGTTTGTTGAAGCTCATCTAACTGTACATTAAAATGGATGAAATTCATCATTTCTAAGTAAAATTACATCTCAAAAAATTGACTAAAAATGAAAGTCAGCATTGAGAGGGTAACTGGCTTTGGATGCAGGATCCTAGAACAAAATGGGGGGGGGGGAGCAAAGAGTGTCCTGGGGGACCTGGGTGGCTCAGCTGGTTGAGCGTCCAACTTTTGATTTCAGCTCAGGTCATGATAACACAATTTGTGTGTTCAAGCCCTGCGGCAGGCTCTGCATTGACAGTGTGAAGACTACTTGGGAATCATTCTCCCCTGCTCCAACTCTCTCTTGCTGCCCCTCATCCACTGTATTCTCCCTCTCAAATAAATAAACTTAAAAAAAAGTGCCCTGAAAATGTCCCCTTTCTGAACCCTATGAGCTTCTTTTTCTTCCTCCTCGCCTTCCTTCTGGCATGGGGATCCCTGGAGGGCCCCTCAGACTCCTCAGGCAGAACCTCTTGTCTAAAATTTCCCTTTGTCTTCTCTGCACACAATTCTATCCCTGTTTTCACAATTTTTTCATCTCCTGGTCTGCTCATTGCATCCCTAGCACCTAGGTGCTCTACAAATATGTGTTTAATGAATGAATGGATAAGTAAATGAAAGAAGAAAGGAAGGGAGAGAGAGAAGAAAGAAAGTTAAACAAAGTATGCCAAGACATCTATGCCTCATGGCAAACTATTTATCCTTCTCAGTCTTCCCTTCCCCTCCCCTCCCCTTCCTCCCTCCCCTCCCATTCCCCCCTGTCCCCTGTCCCCTTTCCCTCTTCTCCCCTTTCCCTCCTCTCCCCTCCCCTCCCCTCCCTTCCATATTCTTTTTCATTAAAAAAACAATTTCTAGGGGGAGAATTATCTCAAAGGAAGGTATTTATTCTTCTAGACAATTAAAAGACACAAATTGAGGAGAAAAATTGATGAGTGATTTTGAGCAGCTTTTTATGTGTGTGTTAGTCATCTGGATGTCTTCGTTGGAAAAGTGTCTGTTCATGTCTTCTGTCCATTTCTTCACTGGACCATTTGTTTTTTGGGTGTTGAGTTTGACAAGTTTATAGATTTTGGATACTAAAACTTTGTCCAATTTATCATTTGCAAATATCTTCTTTCATTCTGTTGATTGCCTTTTAGTTTTGTTGATTGTTTCCTTCACTGTACAGAAGCTTTTTATCTCGATGAAGTCCCAATAGTTCATTTTTGCTTTTATTTCCCTTGCCTCTGGAGAAATACCAAGTAAGAAGTTGCTGCAGCCGAGGTCAAAGAGCTTGCTGCCTGTTTTCTCCTCTAGGATCTTGATGGTTTCCTGTCTCACATTTAGGTCTTTCATCCATTTTGAATTTATTTTTATGTACTGTGTAATAAAATGGCCGGTTTAATTATTCTGCATGTCTCTATCCAGTTTTCCTAGCCCTATTTGCTAAAAACACTGTCTTTTTTTTCCATTGGATACTCTTTCCTGCTTTGTCAAAAATGAGTTGGCCAAATATTTGTGGGTCCATTTCTGGGCTCCCTATTCCATTGATCCATGTGTCTGTTTTTACAATAATACCATACTGTCTTGATGATTACAGCTTTGTAGTATGGGTTAAAGTCCAGGATTATGATGACTTGAGCTCTGGTTTTCTTTTTCAACATTACTTTGGCTATTCAGGGTCTTTTGTGTTTCTGTACAAATTTTAGGATTGTTTGTTCTAGCTCTGTAAAGAATGCCAGTGTTATTTCTTCCAGTTTTTTTTGTGCTTTTTAAGCACAATATAAATATACATCTATATACATTTTTAGAGTTGAAATTGTATTGTCGATGAACTTTTGAATTCTGATTTTTATTACATCATATGATAACTATTTCATCCTTAATCATTCTTCATATTTTAAAAAATTGCTACATGGTCTATGGAATGTGTCTCAACATTTATGAGGACTGAGCATAGATGTTTTGCAGAAATAAGTCCTGGGCAGGTGCCACCGATAATGACTGATCGATATATGATATATATCATATATCATGATGGTATCATCATGGTTTGTTAATATATACCCTGCCCCCCTGTGATGATGTCATGCTCTCTGTGACACTGAAAAGTAGCACTTCTGGAGTCAGCCTAAGTAGATAATAAGGACACCTCATGGTCTGGAGTTGAGAGGGAAAGAAACCACTTACAAGGAAGAAGACTGACAGGGAAAGCCAGAAAATCAATGCTAATGCCTTGTCAGCCAGTCCGAAGTATTTTTGGCATTAAGAGTTCTGTCCATTATTAAGAAATTGAAGTAGTGATGTATTTCTGTGAGTTCTGGCATCCTTCTCTACCTACACACTTGAGTGACCTAGAAGGAAGATATTTCCAAGTAAATATGAAGGCTAAGATGGATTACCTTTACCGTGATGGTAGCTAATATTTCCTGAGTGCTGACCGTATCCCGGGTGTGCTCTGTGTTCTTTCCACCTGTTAACACATTTAACCCTCACAATGATTCTATTGAACAATTTCTATTTATTATCCTATTTATTCTCATATTACAGAAAGAATAAAAGAGGCATAGAGAAGTTATACAAATTCTCCTCAGAAAATGGGATTTAAACCTAGGGGTTCAGAATATACATGCGTATGTAGTTATTTATATATACATGTGAACAATTCATATACTATTACATATATGTGTGATTCATGTACTACACGTGTATGTGTGTAGTTTTCCCGTTTGTGTCTTTCCTGACCTGGTGAAACCTTGCCTGTATACCCCTCCACTGTGGTCCAATGTTTTGTCCTCTGTTTACGAAAACTTGAGAACTGTGCTGATTGTAGCTAACTTCCTCAGCTCATGTGTTTATCACAGCCCACTGGAAGTGTGTTTTTCTTCACACTCTTCTATTACCAGTTCTCTGTAAGAGCACTAATAGCCCTTCCAGTTGCCATGGAGACTTTTCTGACATTAGACCTCTTTGTAGCTTTCAAGAGTTAGCAACTTCTTCCTACATATTTTCTACCACTTAGTTTCTATATTACGGGGCATCCTTGTTTGTTTTGTAATCTTATGGTATTTCTCTTTCTGTTTAATGTGTTCTTTCACTTTGGACCCTTTGCGGTTGACATTCTCCAGATTTTTATTTATATACCGCTATTTTTCTTACTGTGCACATTTTCCTTGTCTAATAGCATCATTTTTGAACTGTCCATCTCTCATCTTGACCTGATAATTGATGGGATAATTCTCCAGCCTGTAAATTTCCAAAGCTGGATGCGGTTCTATCCACATTTATTTAGATATGCTTATATCTGTGGAATGCCCTCCTGAATGGCCAATAGGCACTTTAAACTTAACATGTGTAAAGCTTGACTCATCATCTTTTTCTCAAAACCTGCTCATCTTTCCGTATACTCTGCACTCTGTCTCAGTTAACAGTACTATGTTCTACCCATTGCTAACTAGAATGTTAGTATTGTTCTTGTTTTCTTGCCTTTCCTGTTTTATTTTCTAATATTACCTGAATTTTGTATTAATGGTATCACGTTGAGTTGCACATGACAGAAATCCAACTTAAATTTCCCTTGGACAAAAGGAAAACTGTACAGATTTACTCCACAGCCAAAAGTACAGCTTTCCTATGAAACCTTTCCTAAGCCAAAATGTAATAAAGTAAAGAAGCAGTTACCATTAATTCATATGGAAATTTTTTGAGCATTCCCAGACCCAAAATATAACCTCTCTTAGCCTTTTTGGATACCTTAGGTTACATGTTGCTGATGGATGCACAAAATTAAATAAAGGTGAAACACAGATGCTCACAGACACAATTGAAAGCTATGGCAGCTTGATGATAAGATGCTGAGGATATTTCCCAGGGAAAGAGCTGGGCGGGACCACTGTTGCCACTGCTCCTCAGGGTGCGTGTGATCCCTAGAACAGCATCTGCAAAACAAATGCTGAGTGCTATTTTCACCTTTTGCCTTTTTTCATAAAAACGAAAATCCTTTTTGGATTTCTCTCAGAGAAAATAGGTACTAATGTAGATCTCTCACTAAAGCAAAGTGGTGTAACTCAAACTTTCACAAAGCTAAGGGTGCTTGAATGGACTTGTGTCACATTGACTGGTCGAAATATAGCTGGGCAGCAAGGGAATTCATGGTACCAGGTGTCTTTCTAAATCTCTCACTCTCTCCCTTGTACCACCCCTACACTGATCTCTGCTTCTCTTTGTGTGTTGGCTACATCCTTTCTGGTAACCCGGGGCTCACAGCTTCATGTGGAGAGAATATGGCACTTTCCCTCCTACCTCTAAACCTAGAAGTGATTTTTATTGGTCCAGTTTGGACTATATTTCCACTTCCTGGACCAGTTACTGTGGTGGAGGCATTGGGTAAGAGGGTGAGAAGAGTTAACAGATCTGATCCATCCGTGGAATAGCCATTATTGGTGATGAGAGGGCATGGCTCCAGGGGTGGGAATCTTTCTCCAAATGAAGAACCTGCCTTTTATCAGAAGAATCAGAGAAAGGGGTGGTGCACAAACAAAAAATGATAAACGTCCACTACAAATCTCTTCCTTCCTCTCTACCCTTCCATTTCTCTTGTTCATCTTCTAAATTATTCTCCTAAATTACTGTTATGAGCCCTTTCCTTATCTGTCTGACTCCAAGTCCTGTGGTGTCCAAATCCATTTTCAATACAGAGTCCTGATTTTATATAAGTAACAAAGTAAAGAAGTAAACAAGTGTGTGTGGGTGTGTGTGCATGTGCTCATGCGTGGTATAACTCTTACCTACCTATAGCAAAGCCTACAAAGGTTCCATTCTCCTCCAGGTTGAAGTCCAAGTTTCTCCTTATAGCCTTCATGACTTCTAGAGCCATATTTGGTAATTCAGTGTCACATATTTTTACTTCCGGTTCTAAACATCATTCTGTAATATTACCAAACAACGTTTGTTTTTGCTCAACGCAATAAATCTTTCCTTTGCCTCTCTGATCAAATTACCTTCCTTCTGCCTACTATGCCTGTTTTTATACTTCATCTGCCCAACTCCTACTCAGCACTAAAAGCTCAATTCCTATGTTTCCTCCTGGATATCTCTCTGACAGGTATTGAAATCCCTCATAACTTGTTGCCTATTTGTGTTATTGCAAGCAAATGATTATGTATTTATCATTAACCTCCTCACAATAATACAAGCTTCCTGAGAGCAGGAACCTTGAGTTGAATTACCGTGGTGTTCCCCGTGCTAAAAAAAAAAAAAAAAAAAAAAAAAAAAGCATAGTAAGTGGTAAACAGCCTAGAAATACTAGAAAATAAGATTAAGAATGAAAATACCACAAACTCAATTATATGATTCATTATTTCTGAAATACCTGGCAGATTCTACTCTAATACATTTATAAATCACATTTTTCTACTTAAAATTGTGTTACTGTTTCTTAATTACATCTATTATATTTGACACTCAATTAAAAATCCTTTTATTAAATGGTTTGTTTTAGAAATTGGATATTCTGATTATTTGAATTTTTTGAATAAGTGGAAGACTGCCACAATCACCGGTTATTCTATATTTTCAGAGAACATTGACCAAATGGGATTTTTCTTTGATTCTGTAATTTACATTATCCCCAGAGCATCATATTTTCCTTTACACAATGCAATACTTGTAAAAGGTATTCAATATTATATATCTCTATAAACAAAATATAAATGTTGTAATTTGTTCAAAAATAAATCTTTATCAGTCTATATTCATGAAATTTCTTAAACTTATTTGACTGAATTGACCACTGTTTTTTCCCTTTCTTTTATGATGTATATCTGACTTTTCTTCCCTTTTTTCATGGTACACTTTCTTTATCTCTTTGGCTGCTCCATTGGTTCATTCAACAATTATTTGCTGAGTCCTTTCAGAGAGCTGGTCTCTATCTCAGAGCCTCTGCTCAAGTGTCACTTTCTCCCTACATGTCCTCGTTTCCTCCCATGTGGTCATTGTACCCAACAGACACCTCTCATCTGAGCTCCGTTGCCGTATATCTGTTTGCCTGTTCCACGTCTTTACTTGGAGTTCTAACTACTATCTCTGACTCAGCATATTCCATATTCCACACTCCCCATAATTTCTTCCTCCCTATCAGTGAATGGCACCATTGCACACAAAATATGTAAGTCGAAGCACTGAGAATCATTATTTCTTCTCTGTCTCTCCCCATCCAGTCAATCACCAAATCCCATTGATCTTGCCTACTTGCTACCTTTGCAATCTATCCACTTCTTTCTCTACTGCCACTGTCACATACGTCCCTATCAGCATCTTTCTGCACTACTCTAATTCACTTGTAAATAGTCCCTTGCTTCTTTTAAAAAAAAAAAATTTACTTAAATTCTAGTTAGTTAACATATAGTGTAATATTGGTTTCAGGAGTAGAATTTAGTGATTCATCACTTAAATTTAACACCCAGTGCTCTTCACAGGTCACTTTCACTTCTCTCCAATCTATTATTCACTCTGTTGATCTAATGATCTTTTAAAAAACATTGATCCAATTATGTTATTCCCATGCTTAAAGCTCTAAGTGACTTCCCATTACCTCTAGGACAAGTTCCAAAATACATTTCAAATGGCCTACACAGACTAGCTTTCCTCTCCAAGCTCATCATTACTTCTCTTCTGGATCCATCTCTATGCATCAATCATGAAAATTTTTGTTTCTCAAAGAATACTCTTTTCTGCTTCAGGGCCTTTTCACATGCTTTTCTCGTGTTTCTGTTTATATGAAAACAGAAATAAAATATCCATGTAGTTAGAAAACTCATGCAGTGCAATAATCTATAAAATATGAAAACAAACCTTCCCTCTTACTCCCACCCCTACCACTCTTATCAAAGCATCCAATGTCATTTTCCTCTTGTATATTTTTCTAAAATTGTGTGTGTGTGTGTGTGTGTGTGTGTATTTGGAGGAAATGGGGACAGAAATGGGTTTACCCCATACTCTGTAATAGAGTGCAATGATTAAAGTATAAAATCTGGAAACTGATTGCCTGAATTCAGGTTCCGTCTCTGCCACAAAGTAGGCGTGTTTCTTGGACAAGTACTTATCCATTCTGTGTCTTAGTTTCCTCATGTGTAAAATGGGAAATTAACAGGATCTACCTATAGGGTGTATGCAGTTTTGATCTCTCCAAATATTAGGAATTTTCTCCACTTGTTCAGTGTTTATACCTCATTTCTTTCTTGTGTAGATGTGCTTTTGGTATTATTTCTAGAACGGTGTACGTAATGTATATACATAATGGAGGTATTAGTGGGTATTCTCCTCTTGTTTGTGCCTTTCATTGTAATGCTCTTCCAGTGCTTTGCCATTAAGCTTATTGATGTTGACTGATGCTGACTCTTGGGTTGAGAAAGGTACTATACAGTAATAACTATTATTATTTTTAAAGTATGTTTATTCTATCAATGATGTTTATGAAAAACTGATTTTGAATCTTGTCAAATAAGACAAGATTTGGGTCTACTTGAAAGGATCATATATTTCCCCTTTGGACCTATTAGCATGATGTTGCTTAACAGAATTTCTCGAATTTCTAATTTACATACCATTATTCCGATATTCCAGTCATATCACACTCATCTTTTTTTCTTAATCCTCCCATATCTTTTACATGGTCACACTAATCTAGAAAACGATAAAATTTATTTGTGGTCCAAAAAATCACTTTTAATATTTAATTACTATCTTTAATCAACCTTGAGTATGGTCTATCTCTCCTACAGTTCTTCCTTCCTTCATTTTTCTTTCTTTCCTCATCCCTTTTTCTTCTCCAACAATTATGGTTTGTATGATATTGGTGGGAGAGTCGTATCCCAGCACATCTCACAATGGGCACTTAGCAAGTGACTCCCAGCAAAATGTGGCTGGAGAACATTTGTAAGGGCATATATAATATGCCTTTGGAAAGGAAGGTAGGATGTTCTAAAAACAACATAAGATTTGTTACATGCCTGCTAAGTTTCAGGGATGTTGCTGACAACACAGTCGGTGATTATGTCATGGTTTCCACCTTCAAGGAACTTATGTTTGGTGAGGGGCCCATAGGCAAGCACAATACACTACAGTGGCATGGAGGGAAACCACTGCCTGAGAAAGACACCACAGCACCCAACGTTTAGTTGAGTTCTGAAAGGCTAACAAAGAACCACTTTCCTGACTTGGAAAAATTGATAATGATTCCAAAACAAAAGGAATTTGATGTTAAATTCTAGAAAGTGTAAAATATAGCTAATAATTATAATATTCCCTAATTCTAAATTTCTGTAAGAATGAAATTTAATGTTTTGAGCTGCTTCATAATAAAGTAAACAAATAATTAGCACTTTACCTCTGGCTAATTGGTGGAAGCAATGTCACACGGCATTTTTAAATCAGTCCCAAGTAGTTTTTCTGCTCTAAGATCCTAATCTTAGGACATCTTCATGTAAATTTTGGAGATAGGTTTCTCTTCATCCTAGGAGAAAAAGAATACCAGGTATAATGGGAGACTTTAAATGATATACCATCAGCTGTTAGAACATATTATTCAGACAAATGGTTATAAGTCTGAAAGTTACAAGTTGAGGTACATTAAATGAAATTACTTGAATACTCTAAGTTTGCATTCTTTACTGGTACCAATGTACTAAGTACTGATGAGAGTGATGGTGGTAATGGAGGGGAGTAGATGGTGCTGGTAGTGGGGAATTTGTATAATACCATCCTTTTGAAAATTGTTTTAATGGATGCACTGGACTTAGAAGTTTGAAGCCATAACATAGAGTATTTGATGCATCTGAAGATCTGTATAAAGACATGTTGTAGGCTCTGAGGCAGTTCAAAAATGGTGGCAATGACCGCATTATTGGAGAAAGTACTTAGTCTCCTAGGATGACTGTCTTGAATAGAAAAACACTCAATTAAATGCCTCAGTAAAAATGGCTAGTTGTCCTTTATATTCATTTTTCCTTTTTATGTGGTCAGAGAGTCCCAGATTTTTAGATGGATACGTGACCACATGGAATAAAGACTATGTGTCTTGTCTCCCTTCAAGCAAGATGAGGCCACATCACTTAGGTTTGAACAATGGAGTATAAGTGGAAGTGTCACATCTTAATGAAGACTTGAATCTTCATTAATAGGCAATCATCATGCATCCTTTGTCCTTTGACACCTTTGTCTTTCTACGGGCTGGAATGCTACAGAATTGCTGGAGCTAAAGTAGCTATTTTCCTCCATGAGGTGACCTTGAAATTGGAGGCCATATAAGTAGTAGAAAAACACAACGGAGTCCAGGAATTTAAGCATTTTATGGAATTGAACCCTGTACAACTACTAGACTGCTTGCCTTCAGGCTTTTATGTAAAAGAAATAAGCCCATCTCTTCTGTAAGTTACTGACATTTGAGGCCTCGGTTACTCAAAAGGAACTCCATCCTATATGGTCTGTGTGAATCAGTTCTCCTTTAGCTGTTCAGAGTATATTATAGAGTCAATATGTAATTGAAAAACAACAGTAAAAAGGAAATACATTTTATAATATAACAAGGTCAGTTGTCCTTTACAGTCACATTAATGTAGTATCATTTAAATATTAACCTTCAAGAAAATTTCCAAATTGGGAAGATACTGAGTTCTCTGAGGTTGGCCAGGATTAGGAATATGGCGAAGAGAAGCGGCTTTGCGGATATCCTTCTACAGACGTTAGAAAAGGGCCTGAGGCCTCTTGTGATCTACCTGAAAAATCCAGGGTTGCTCAGACCTTCCCTAGGACATCTGCACAAACATTTGATGCCCAGGGGGTTATGGGTACTGTTTTAGGAGCTGACTATAATGTAATGATTAAAACAAAGTCCTAACTCTCATGGAACTTACATTTTGGTTTATGGACACGGATGATAGATAAGTGCCAAATCAATGCACACTAGGTGAGAAGGGGTACGTGATATGAAGGAATGTAATGTTGGATTAAGACACAGAGCAGAACTGGGTGTGTGCTGGAGGTGACAACTCGAGAGATCTTCCCTCAGTCTGGAATAAGGTACACATTTAACAACCATATACTTGGGCCCATTGCTTTTAATGTGTTTTGCTTCCCACTCCCTTATGGGTGAGCACATGCCGATATGCCAGTGATCTCCTCATTCTGGTCCCAAAGGCATTCTAAAGAATCATAGCCTTGTATATATGTGTGTATATGTATGTGTGTGTGTGTATATATATTTATATGTGTTTGTATGTATGTGTGTATATATGTGTGTGTGTGTGTGTGTGTACTTTTTTTTTTTTTTTTTTGCCTCTTTCAGGTTACTTTTAATTTCCAGCATATGGCTTGGCAATAACATTAAACTGATAAGAGCCCAATCTGGGTTCAAATTTCACTTTACATATTATCCCAGAGATGATACTTTTAACTTCTCATTACTATTCTCAACCTACAGCCTATATTTAAGCAGGCTTTTAACAATGGGAAAGTAGTCCTGTAGAAACAAAGCATGGAATTCAAGGTGAGGAAAGAACGACATGTGTATACGGCTCGTGTCTTCCCACTCACTACCCAAATGTCACTGGGCAAGTCACCAAGCTCATTTCTGCATTTGTAAAATGAAATAAAATTCACAAGCTTCTACAGTTTAATGAGATTCTCCTTGTGAAGAATGGGATAACTATAAATCCCTAGACCTTGTCAGTTATCATTGTATTTACTGTCTGCTCACAGACCAGGGCATTTTAAGCCATTGAGATTCCCTGGAGCTCATGTGAAGGCTGTAGGCTGAGAGAAAGGCAGCTGCTGGTAGAGTTTGAGTAAGCATATATTTGTTTAAACTTGTTTCTTTAATTTACTACAATCATTACTCCCTGCCAGTAAGGACATATTCTCAACGTTCTCTGAATAGTTGCAAATTAAAGGCAGATTTGCTAGGGATAAGCTCATCACAGTTTTCATCTTTAAATATATATCATATTTGTTTATAAAATAATGAAAGAAAACTTTAAACACAAAATTAGGTGATGCCAAGCCAGACACGTATGACAAACAAGGCTAATAATCCTTGTAAGAGAGGGAACTTTCAGAAATCAGTAGGAGAGAGGTATAAATATCCTGAGAAAGATAAGCAAGTACCTGAATACACAACTTAAATAAAAGATTAGCCTAGAGGTGGGTGAGAAATTTTTGTCCCCGTTGGTTATAGAACAAAAGAGATTTAAAAAACCCCCACAAGATTTAATTTTTTTTCTGTTGACAAAGATTTTACAAACACTAAAAAAACAAATCGTATGTTTTTAGAGAAGAGAGAAATGGAAATTCTCTTTTAAAAAATTTTTTTTAATGTTTTATGTATTTCTGAGAGAGAGAGACAGTGTGAGCAGGGGAGAGGCAGAGAGAGAGGGAGACACAGAATCTGAAGTAGGCTCCAGGCTCTGAGCTAGCTGTCAGCATAGAGCCCAGTGTGATCATGACCTGAGCCGAAGTGGGACGCTTAACCGGCTGAGCCACCCAGGTGCCCCGAGAAATGGAAATTCTCAAACACTGTTGGTGGTAGGTATACAAATTAGTACAAAGCCTTGAAACTGGAGTTCTGCTTGATTTCTTTTAATTTACCTCAATTTCTATTAATTTATTTATCTGTTAATCTATCTAATTGGAAATCTAAAGATGCACCCAATATTTAATGTATTTGATATCCATCAGAGTAATACTTAGAATAGGAAATTGTAGGAACAATTTAAGTAAGTAACAACAGGGGGCTGATTCAATAAATGAGGCAATGAATAGTAAGACCACTTAATGGTCTGAAATTGTTTAATGAATTTAAATATTGTTTAATGAAAAACATGCTAGAGTGTTTGTGCACAACATGTGTTCACTGAATGAATACATGCAGAGACACATTCCAAAAACAATGGGAAAGTAAGTCCAGTGTTTCTCTTAGGCTTGAATTATAAATATTCCAAATTATCTGCAGTGGATATGCATTATTTTAGAGCTGTATATTAATCCCAGGGGACAGAATTTATTTCTCTTAAAAATTATTAAAGACCAGAATCCTAACCTAAGGTGGAAAATTCGACTCAACTATGCAAGACTATCATATGTTTTCCAACTGACTTCCCCTTTCTGTTAAACCCTTATGCTTGCTAACCAGCATTGTGAGTTTGTTGTGGGTCAGGGGAAGTTAAACATTTCCAGTGAAATGAAGATAAACTTCTCCTGGTTTATGAAGTCATTTTTAGATGAATATTATGACAAATCAAAGGTCAGACCATTTCTCCCTTTTCAAGGAGTCTCCCCTACCCCTCCGCAGATGTTTTCAGAATGCAGAATGAGGAAGATGTTAGCTGGGAAGAGGGGGTCTGGGGCGGACCGACCTGAGGACGTGCTGTCTTATTCCACTGGTTTTAGGTATTGCTGCTGTTTTAAAAATGTAAGTTTTATTATGATTTGGGCATAGTGAGGCCAACAGACCAGGAGACCATTGTCATTGGAAAGACACTTTGTTACCATTCCCAAGAGGAAATGGTGAGCCCCACCTGCCGACTCAGCCACAGGGCAGAGGGAGCATGAGAGGAGTGTGGGCAAGAGGCTGTGCCCACAAGAAGGAGTGGGCAGGTGAGCAGGCTTAGAATTGGCTGGTTTGGGTAATTTCAACAGGCTCTGGGTACAAGGTGTGTCCCTAGGTGTTTGGCACCTGGCCCCCGGGTGATTAGGGCAGGAGATAGTGGCCTGGATGTGAGGGCTCCATAAGGGAGATGGCAGGGGGGCTAGATTTTGTGCTGGTTGGTGTGTATATGAAAGACACCCTTGCAAGCCAGTCAAGCCTTTTAGTATCTCTAGATATTGGCTAGCCCTGAGAGAAGTAGTCTCTTTCAGGTCAGGAAGGACCCAGGTATCAGAAACATGTGCTTAGTACAGCCTCTCTAGACCCGTCCCTAATTTTACTTCTCCCCTCAGGCTTCCAAGCTGCTGACATCCACTATCAACGCCGTTCATTCAGTCACAGGGTCCCGGCTCCTGCTGGTTTCTTGTCTGGGTTTGCCTCCTTTGGTCTCTCGCCCTCTTGGCATTTTTACTTCACCCTGCATGGGCATGTGACAACCAAGGTATCTTCTGGAAGCTCCACACATCCACAGAAAACCAGGGCCTGAACTCAGTCCTTTCTCTACCTCAACGCTCACAATTTTTGTTTTTTGCTGTAGTCCAGGGGACACTAGGGGCCTTCCTGTCCCAAAGTCCCAAAGGCAAGATGACACATGCATCTCTGCTTTGGAAATTCTCCTCAGCTGTATTTTGAGGGAACAGGCATTTGAACCCGATTTCCTGCCTTTCTTCCTCTACTCCTGCCCTTCCTTTCCCATTCCATCCTTCCCAATTTATCTTCTCCACACACACGGAGAGCTTTCCTCCTTCCTGCTTTAGCGAAACTCAATTTACCTGACACCCTCGTTCTCCCTACTCTATGGCTTATAAAAGCAACTCTCATATCGTCACCTAAGCCTGCCTTCTTATCACTGGGGCTGTGAGAAGAGCAAGAGCTAGGTTTTGCTAGTGACTAAAAACACGATGGTTTAGCGTATTAAAATATTATCCTTGCCATAGTCTCCCCTTAGTAACTGTGGCATCCCCACAGAGGACATTCAGCTCATGTGTATACCTTCTCTCTTCAGACCATATCCTCTTCAACCCCATTAGTCTCAGCTGGGTTAACATGGCGCTGTGCAAATTCCTACCTTTCTCCAGTGAAAGTTGTTCTCCCTTCCCCAGGATACTTCCCTCCTCTTGGTCACCTCCTGGTCACCTCCTTGACCACCAGGAAGCTGAACCAAAACTATAAGCACGATGTTCCCCCCAGATGGCTGAAACTTGGATAAGTCTTGCAACCTGGGGATGGAGGAAGTGAGCAGCTGCCTCAGATGAGAGCCAGCGGGACCATCCCGGCCCAGAGCTCCTACCGTGCCCCAGCCTCACCCAAGTCATTGTGCAATCTCTGGCCCTCGGACACATGAAACAAGGACAGAGGTACAGGAGAGCAAAGAAGGCGTCTTTGTCTCCTGTGATCTTTCCAGCACGCGGTAATTCCATACAACTCACTGTGGCTTCTCTTTCTGGCTCAGCTACACTTGCCTTCTCTGAAATAGGCTCCAGGTGTGCCCCAGGCCACTGAGCTGCTGCCACTGAAATGGACATTCCTCTGTAAAAAGAGTTCTTTAAAAGTCCAGAGTCCAAGCCCCCACCTCTCTTCCACATGAGGTGGAAAAAATGCTTTCCGAGCCCCCACCTCTCTTCCACATGCTTCATTACCCTACATGTGCTTCTGTACGTGGTTGCTCTTCACCCTCAACTCAAAATGACATGACTTCTGGATTCGGGTCCATTTTGGCGTGCATACATTCCGACCTCTACATGTTTTGGTTTCAATACTTGCATGTAAATATATAGATGTAAGTTATCATACTATTACTATTTTCTGTAATTTAAGAAAATAAAACCTTTTCATCAGTACGCACATATCTATAGCCACATCTAGTGAAACTGCATAAGATCAAAGCTAAAGGGAAAAAAAATCAGTAAATCTCAGAAAAGGATGAATCCATCTGAAGGAATAATTAGCTTGAACCTTGGAATCTTTACACAGTTAGCTCAGAGTTAGAGGGAAATGCAGATGTAGAAAGACCAAGAGAATTTACCATCCATGACATTTACTGAAATAGCTAGTAAAGGATGTAAATCAATAACAAAAATAAATCCTGATAGGATGTTTGGAATGCATTAATAATAAAAACAGAAAATTTTGAATATGTTGGCAAAAACCATGCAATTCTGTGCATTCTTAAAAATGTAAAACAGAAGAATACAGTAGTCAATGAATAGTTGAATACATTAGCCAATGAACTATTGACTATCATATGAATATATTTTTAACCAGTTTGGCTTTTGATTTAATTTTGTTACTGTTTTTAATTATCCTGAAATGTTACATTATTGTATAGTAAATCTATCAATCTTCTCCTTTATAGTTTTTTTTTTTAATTTTGCTATCTTGTTTAGAAAGTCTCACTCATACTCCAAGGTTATAAAAATATGTCAATTTCCAAAACTTATGTTGTTTTCCCTATTTATAAACATTTAGAGGCATATAAACATATCAATATAGGAAATAAGATTACATTTAGATACTGAAATCAAGAACAGGGACATGTTAGGTAGACAGAAAAATCATGAGATTGGGAACATCATATATAACAAGGCATTGTGGTTTTCCCCCACCAGATATTTTAGATTGAATTTTTAAGTGCCAGAAAACAGTTTAAACATGTAATAGAATTATTGGGTTGGAAAAACTTCCAATTTGATGACAGTTGATTGAAGCAAAAGGTTAATTTTATTAAAGGCTTATGTAGCTGTCTACCAAAACAAAACAAAACAAAACACCAAAAACCAAAACCAAAAATGCCCTTTTGATCTCCAGACCTATATTACACCCTTCTCAGTGTGAATTCTAGGCCACTTTCATGTATATATGGAACTACAGTAAATTAGAGTACAGAATATAGGGGAGGATTTTTTCCCAGATTTCTCATGTGTCTCCTGATGTATGGTGTTTACACTGTGGTCTGGAAAAAACACAGGCTTTGAAGCCAGATGGTCCTAGATTAGGGTAGCCAGATTTAGCACATAAGAATGCAGGGTGCCTAGTTATGTCTGAATTTCAAATAAATAATGGACAATTTTTTAATCCAATTCAATGCGTAATGAATTGGGTCCCAGCACCACTTTTCCTGCTGTGTGACTTTGAGAAATTACCTAAACTCTCAAAATTCAATCCTCACATTTGCCAAGCAGGAGGACTTATAGCCACTTTTTAGGTTGTTGTTAGTCTTGACATGTATGCAAAAGGGCTGAATGATATCTAAAATGTGATAGGCACTTAAGAAATGCTAGCATCTGTCCCCTCTTCCAAGATTCTATCCAGCCATGTGGAAATAGCTGCAGTTACAAATTTATAATCCCTGATGTCAAGAAGTACATAAATGATTAATGATTAAATTAATGTATTTGGATGTTGCCAGCCAAGATTTTAAGGCACTGCTTAATTAATTAACTAATTAAGTAATTAATGCTCATGTTGCCCTTGTTATCTCACAACTAGCATTAATGATCTTCTGGTCCTGAGCACTGGGAGGATGTATGGAGGCTTGATGAGAACATTTGGATCTTAAATTTAAAATGTCCAGAATAGAATTTTTTATTTCCCCATCCCCATCTAATTATCTTGTAGAGTTTCCAATTTGAGTAAAAGGTACAATCATTTATCCATTGTTCAAACTAAACCTAGGAGGAATTTGGCCTGATCCCAATCAAAATACAAGTGAGTTTTTTTATAGAGATACAAAGAATCTTAAACACATACACATACACACACACACACACACACACACACTAATTTTGATAAAGAGCAGAGCACACCCTGTATCTAAATATTGGTTCTTAGGGGTACCTGGGTGGCTCAGTCAGTTAAGCATCCAACCTCAGCTCAGGTCATGATCTCATGGCTCATGAGTTTGAGCCCTGAGTCTGGCTCTTTGCTGGAGTCTGCTTCAGATTCTGTGTCTCGTTGTTCTCTTTCTCTTCCCCTCCCCTACTTGCGCGTTCTCTTTCTCTCTCTCTCTCTCAAAAGAAAACATTTAAAAAGTTATAAGCAAACAAACAAATAAATACATACATACTGGTTTCTAATGGCATTCCTTAGCATTCCTTGAGCCAGGACAGAGTATACACTAGATGAGCCTGGAGCGTCTTATAGGGACAAAAGGCAAAAAGTGCCAAAAAAAAAAAAAAAGAAAAGAAAAAGAAAAGAAAAGAAAATCTCAAAAACAAAAAAGTAAAAACAAACCAACTCTACATTAAAGGGTGTTTGTCAACGTGACATGGGAACCAACAGAAAGAGCTCCCAATAGCCAAAGCTGGAAGAAATTGAGCAAGAAGATAAATCGTGTAGTACTGGGTCATTACCTAAAGTATAAAATAAATATTTATAAGTTCATACTAATATAAATAAGTAAATGAATAAATAAATAATGAGGGATAAAAGACAAAGCTTTCTTGGAAAACAATTCCAAATAATTTATGTAAGATGCTTTGTCTTCAAGGAGGTGGAGCATAACTCCCCAGTCCTTAACTGTGGGCTGGGTATAATGACTTCCTTCCAAAGAGTACAGTATGGAAACAGGAGAAAAGAATAACTTTCTGAGATCTCTGCTGGGATCTAAGAAAAATTACCTCAACCAGATGATTAAGTTCATTATCAATGGTGATAAATTGTGTTGATACCATATGCCCTCGATCTAACATGATGAAAATGTCACTTTACCTCTGTGATCTTCCTCCCCCAAACTCATAATCCCAGTATAATCATGAGAAAATGAAAATACAGGTAAATTCCAATAGAAGGGCATCGTACAAAAATTTTAATTAATACTCCATGAAATCGCTAAGGTCATTAAAAATGAAAAGTCTAAGAAACTGTTCCAATCAAGTGGTATATAAGAGACATGACAAGTAATTGTAATGTGGCATCTTGGGACAGGAAAAAGAAAACAAGCATTAGGGAAAAGAAACATTAAGTAGGAAATATTAGGTAAAGAATAAAGGATAGCCAATAGTTAATAATAGTGTATCAATGTTAGTTTGATAAATGTGGCAGACATAACATATAAATATGCATTAATAATATAGAAAACTAAGTGCAGAGTATATGGGAACTCTGTGTACTACCTTTACAGTGTTTCTGTAAGTCCAAAACTGTGGTACACAGTAAAATCTATTTAAAAAATAAGGACAAGAACAAAGTGGAAGATTGTCATTGCCTGAGTCCATGGTTCATTGTGTAACTGCAATAAGCAAGACAGCATACGATTAGTGTAAGGATAGACATGGTAATCAATGGAACAGAATATGGAGTCTATAAATAGACCCACACAAATAGGACCAATTCATTTTTTACAAAAATGTCAATGTAGCAGGGAGGAGATAGTCTTTTCAGAAATGATGCTAGACAAACTGGATATCCATATCAAAGAAAATAATCTCAGTTGTTACTTTATACCATACACAGAATTAACTAGAAAGATATCATAGATCTAAATAAAAGCTAAAACTGTAGAACTTCTAAAGAGGAAACGTGGGAGAACATGCTTGAAACCTTGAAGTAAGCAAAATTTTTAGGACAAAAACACTAGTTATATAAAAGAAAACAATATGAATTGAACTTTAGCAAAATTAAAAACTTCAAAAAAGATCATTAGAAAATGAAAAGGCAAGACATAGGGAGAAAACATTCACTATACATGTATTTATATCTGCAAAGAATATTATTAGTTATCACAAAAATGCAAATTACACACATGGTAGAATGGCTAAAGTTTAAAAAGACTGATAATACCAAAGGTGGACAAAGCAATATTGGGCAAGTGGCATTCTCAAACCTTATTGAATGGGGATATCAAATGGTACAATCACTTTGGAAAACTGTTTGCCACTTCCTCATGAAATAAAACCTATGACCTAGCAATTCCATTCCTAGATTATTTATTCAAAATAAAATTTCTAAAGAAGGCTCATACACAGATGTTCCTGGAATCTTTGATTAAAATAGCCAAACATTGGGGGCGCCTGGGTGGCTTAGTCGGTTAAGCGTCCGACTTTCGCTTAGGTCATGATCTCGCGGTTCGTGGGTTCGAGCCCCAAGTCAGAAAAGAGACTGGAGCCTGTTTCAGAGTCTGTGACTCCCTCTCTCTCTGACCCTCCCCTGCTCACGCTGTCTCTCTCTCTCTCCTAGAAATAAATAAAACATTAAAAAAAAAAATTTTTTTAAATAGCCAAACATTGGAAAAAGCCAAAATGTTCATCACCTAGTGAA